TCTACAAGAAGTCTTGAAGTGATGCAGTCAACAGGGGGAGTATATACGCGTTGCACTCTTTTTTCCTTGATCAAGGTTTTTTCCCACTGGGTTTTTCTCGGCAAGGTTTTTAACGAGGCAGCATTTTCAAGCGTATAAAGAGAAGAATCATTTTGTAATGTTTTTATTTAGTAATGTACATCTAAGGGGGAGTGTTATGTAATTAAGTAGATGTCCATTAATCATAGGCCCATATGCAGTGGCCCATATCATGACTGTAACCCTAGCTCCCCTTCTCCTATATATATATATATATATATATATATATATATATATATATATATATATATATATATATATATATATATATATATATATATATATATATATATATATATATATATATGGTATGTGCTAATGAAGAGGTATGCTTTGGATCCGTTCATAACAACGATATTCTTTTTTATATTTTCACATGAACTTAGTAAATTAAAGATGATATTTATCACGTGCGTCATCATTTTGCTATACTTTTTCTTAGTTGTGTTGCACTATTTGTGTATTTGTGAACTTTAGTACCACATATGCAATTTCTTGTATTTATATCAACACTTAATGTGAGTTGGTTGGTGTGAAGATATCTACTAATTGCAAGATTTGTTCAAAATTTATAGCATGTGTTTGGCATTGTACCGTACCGTTTTGTACCGTTCCGAAACAGTATGGTACCGAACGGTTCCATCCTTGAAACCGGACCGTACCGGACCGCGCCCACCCCTATTTTTTCTATACGATTTATATAGATATATAGTGATTGAAATGTGAATAGTAGGAGATACGACATAATTTGAGATAAATGAGAAAGAGTGGATGAAAAAGCAAATGTTTGTGTAAAATAAAAGTAAAAGTAAGGGGAAAATGTCAATTTAGTCCTCGTAATTTCATGAAAAAGTCGATTAAGTTCTCATACTTTTTAAGAAATCAATCAAATCTCAAAACTTTGTAAAAATGTTCAATTGAGTACATTTGAAGGTTACTTGTCATGTCAGCGGGTGACCCGCAGACGTGGCGCACACATGACGATCCACGTGTGTGTCACGTCATCGACAAATGGTTGACTGGACTTCCACATGTGGGCCATGCCAGTAAAATGATTACTGATTGGGCTGCTACATGTGCGCCACGTCGGCGATGTGACTTGCTAACATGGCAGGTAGCCTGCAAATGGATTCAATTGAACATTTTTACAAAGTTCGGGGATTTGATTGATCTTTTTAAAAGTACGAGGATATAATTGGTTTTTTCATAAAAGTTCGAGGACCAAATTGACACTTTTTCCTAAAAACAAAAATAACAAACTTACAAAAATAAATCAAAGAAAAGTGATGAAAAAATATTTTTTAGAAAATTAAGTTATCCGTTGTATGAAAATTACTACCTCTGTCCCCCTAAGTTTAGGACAAAGGGGTGTGGTATGATTTTTAAGAAAAAGTGAAATTGTGTGATTGATATTGAATTGATAAAGTGCGCATAAAATAAGAATGAATTCTAACAACTCAAATTTTACCAAATATGGTATGTGACAAACTTAATTTGATGGACGAAAAAGGTAAAACGAGACAAAGTTAGGGGGCAAAGGGAGTAGATGATATGAATGATGTCACATTACTCAAAACAAATACTCCGTCCGTCCCGCTATGATTGTCCTATTTTACCATTTCGGTCCGTTCCACTAAGATTGTCACATACCTTATTTGGTAAAGATTGTGTGATTCTTAATAATTTCTACTTTATTCTTACTTTATCAATTCAATATCAACCATATAAACTCACTTTTATTATTAACCGTGACATCCTCTCTTGTGATGTACTCCCTCCGTCCAGCTATGATGTCCCATTTTACCATTTCGGTCCGTCCCACTAAGATTGTCTCATACCTTATTTGGTAAAGTTTGTGTGGTTCTAAATCATTCATACTTTATTCTTACTTTATCAATTCAATACCAACCACATAAACCCACTTTTATTAATAACCGTGTCACCTTCTCTTGTCTCAAACTTAGGGCAGAGGTAGTAGTACGTAAAATTAGGTAGTAGAAGAGATCAGATGGGGCAATAAATATTGATACGGTGTTAATATTTGCACTAATGCTAAAGCTACCTCATTTTGTACCCCCTCCTATATTAGTGGTTCACAAAAGCAATGAGTTAAAATGGAGCAATTATTTTAATTGGATTGGATTTTTGTGAACCACAAACATAAAATGGGATACAAAATGGGATAGAAAATGGGGTACCTCTAGCATTTCTCTAATATTTGTATAACGGATCGTCAATATAATACTCCGTATTATGTACACTTCCATTAATTATCACCAAACCTGTGTTACGGTTGTGTAGTTGTGTTACATTTAAACCGTTGACTTTGTATCCACTTGCCCGAATCCCAATTAATAGTACTCGAAATTACGTCAGTTTTTGTCTAAAAAAATATTCAGTTTCTTGAAATCAGCTCAAATTGAAATTGATTAAAATTGATCTCTTCGTCTTATTCTTATTAAACGGCGGTGTTCTCTTATTAAACGGGGTGTTAAAAAAACAAAAAAAAACATCCCGTCTTTGTCACCCCCAACACCACTAGCTCCAATCATCTGAGGATAATGCCAACATGCATTAATAATGTCATATATGTGACAGTTTCAATGAAAATTTTATCATTATGAAGAGTAATAATGTCACTTTCTTGGCAGTGAGATTTAAGAATCAGTGCAGTTTTAAGAATCAGGAGTAGAAGCAGTTTTAAGAATTAGATTCAAACAACTCTAAATATAGTTGTAAAACTGAGTCCTAATGACCTATATTCAGTTTTTACACTTAAACAACTATGAGATTATATTATGGCAACTATTAATTATATTCTTATAAATAAATTTCATTTTAGTAATATTTTTGAAAAACTTCTATTTAACTATTTTCAAACAAAAGAAAGCAGCACTCGCTCGAAATTCTTAAGCCCCTGAAATATGGATGGAAGCCCCTAAAAGTCTTCCCCCATCCAAAATCACAATTGACAAAACTACGAAAAAATTGCTATATGATCTAAAATCAATTCTCGACACTAAAGAGAATTACAAAGTCGAAGAGTGGTGGTGCAAATCAGCAAAGATAAATGGTAATCGTTCTCTTCGTAAGTCGTAACTACTTTTAAGGACTATTACAAAATATTCAACGTAACTTTTGAAAGTATTCGAATTTTCCAACTTTCTTTCTGATATAGTCATATTCAATCTAGTGGGGTTAATATAGCGTAAAATTAAACAAATTTTAAGTATTTACTTAAAATTGATCGCAAGGAATAATATCTAAGAATATTAGGTACAATCTTAAAATATGAATTTTCTGATTCTTCACTTGCAATTTGAAATAAACTTAATTAAAGAATTTACTTTAGAATTAAATCTCTAATTCTTCGAATATTCGAATGTTCTTCGGATCATCAAATCTGTGAATCTTCGTTCTTCGGATCTTCAAATCTGCTTGAATGCAGAATTCAACTTGAAGGGCCTCCGATTTTCAAGTAGTTTGATCTTCAACAAAAGGACCGTTTGTGGCTTGATCTTCTGTTAAAGGGCTTTCCAGGATATATGGCTTGATCTTCAATTGAATTTTGATTAAATCTTCATATGAATATATTCAAATCTTCAAAGATTCGTTCTTCATATCTTCGAATCTTCAAAGCATTGTTCTCCAGATCTTCGAATCTTCAAGCTTCGTTCTTCAGATCTTCGAACGTTCTTCAACTTTTGGATTTATTTTATCAAGAATGAATGAAATCACAAAGGATTATTCGTACATTCTTAATAAAATTTGTGGCTTGATCTCTTCCTCTTCTTTGGAATCGTTCAGAGTCTCTCAGGAGTTCCTCAGATCTTTTCTGTAGCGTTTCTTCGTCTGAAAATTCTCCCCCCTTCCTCTCAACTGAGACCCCTATTTATAGGTGTGGAGGGGTGAAATATGCTTTAGGATTCCCAAAATTCGTCCATATTATTTGGGCCCCAATTAAAATGGGCTTTGGGCTCTATTTGCTTGTATTTAATAGGCAGAAAAATAAGCACTTGTACAATGTATCTGGACAGCTTTTTAAAAATGGTTCGGAGCTATTTCTCATCCATATGGACACATTTCTTAACCAGATTCGTCTTCTCTATCAACTGGATCATGCCTCTTATTCATTAGACCATTATCTCATACTCTGTATTGGGCTCGAAATAGAGAAATCAATAAGATTGGTCCATTTTGTTAAAGACTCGACGTATAATTAAATTAATTGGATATTTTAAATGATCCAAATTAATTTAATCACTAAATTTTATCTGAACGGATCCGTATTAATATTTTCCTTTTCATACGAGTCTTCCAGTAGAATCCGATTTTGGCCCAATAAATTCAAATGAAGCCCAATAACGTGGATAATAATCCAGTAGCATTTAAATCCGTTTAATAATATTATGGAATATCATAGATTAGTAAGTCCAAAATATTAAATAATTTTCAATATCCACATATAGTGCTCCGTATGATGTAATTTTTTCCGACATTAAGTCTATGTTCCTTGATTTTTTTTATGATCATTGATATTTTTATGTTACGTTCTCACATGTTATGCTACTCGTTCTATAAAATGTAAACATTCTAGATTTGGATGGATTTCAAACATGTGATCGGACGCGCGGTGTTTGACACGTGTGTTGATTTTGTTATATATTTACTCATATTATTACTAAAATTAAATAAGTTTCCCTTTTGATTTGTTTCCTACCCGTATAAGTTTATTACGTAGTATTTTTTGTCAATATTTCCCTTCAAAAAACTTCTCCATTACTATTGTTGACAAATATTCAGGTCCGGCCAGGCCTTAAATCATTTGACGACATTCCCAATTGAATTTTTGACTGAAATTTGGTATGCATGAACTAGACTTGATGAGTAACCTACACAAAAAAATTGAGCAAAAAATACCACCGGAAGGCCCCCAAATGGAGGAGGCCGGACGGGGCTCGGTCAGGAAATTCCTGACCGGAACAGCACTCTACTATTATTTATGTTAAAAACTCATACAATGAAACAAATTCATTGTCAAATACCTCATCCCCCTTCTCTTTTCGTTTTATCGTTTACTAGCATATCAAACAATACATAGCCATAAAAGTCTAAACCCACCTATCACTCTTCCTCCTCTCTTTACTCTTTCTCTCTTTTCATTTTTCGTGTCCCCACCAAACAAAGCATAAGCAGATACCCGTTGAAGTAAGCGCGGTAAAGGAAAAAAGGCATTCGTAGAAGCAAACGTCAACTAATTGCATTGATATATCCAATTCCCCAAAATTACATCTTTAGCTTTAACTTCTTTTTTCCACGCAGAATCGTGAGATTTCAACGGCGAATAAACAGATGGAACGAATCACGAATCGGTGGGTCCCCCTCCCCCCTGTCACTTTCCCGTATTTCTATGGGAATCTAAGAGTTGACCGGCCCGATCGTCTTTAAATCAAATCTGATTCTTTGTCCTCGCCCATCGGGCAAATTGAACGGCTGTGGTTGGATCGGATGAGGATTGTACGGCTAGGATGACTTGAGGAGTAGGGCAGCTTGGGCCCCAGAATGGGATGAATGGTTGTGATCTTCCTCGTAGGTGATAATCAACGTCGTAGGATCGTCCACTGCCCTCTCCACATGTTTCTTTGCTGGGCATCCCCTTATGCTACTACACTTGTAATATCCCCTGCAGTTATCAAAATCGGATTTTCAAAATTAATTAGTGATGAAATTATCTCTGATGCTTACTTAATTATTATCTAAAAATATATATTTATATAGGAAAGTATTGGTGATATGAAATGTGATTGCTGAAAATATTATGAAGTCAAAAAAGTAAAAGTATGAAAGTTAAACTTCACAAATTTTTACTACCGAGTATTCGTTAAAATGGATTGACTAATGTTTAAATCATAGGCTCGAGAAGTCAAAGAGGACACAAGTTAAATACTGATACTCAAATGATAATGCAAATTAGAATATTTTTAGTTGGACAGAATCTTATGTAATCTGTTTAAATTTGATAATTGTCTTATTCATGTGTATTTTATCATTGTTTAAGTCTCATATAATTTGATCTGTTTAACTATATATGACTTAAACCAATTAACTCAATTAATTAATAATACAAAAATACAAAAATGCGAGGCTACCCCATTTTGTGTACGCATTTGCATGCATTGTCTATATAGGCAGACAGAATTGACTGCACTAGCACTTTTAGTATGGTTTAAATATATTTTAGCGCTACGTTGTTGGTAATTAATGCGATCTGCCAAAATTTAACATCGAATTTTAGAATTGAAGTTTAATGCATAAATTCTAAATTTTGATGTTACTTTTTCAAATTTTACCATTGACGTTTTTTCATCATTGATAATGAGTACTCCGTATTAAGTAAAATTGTCGAGCTACAACTACTTGAAATAATAATATGAGAGATAAAAATTTTGTCAATATTTAATTTGAGCAAATAATAATAGTACTGCTAGTCATCATACTTATGTTCAATTTTATGACCATGATTACGTATAGTACTATGTAATCATCATAATTACATTTTGTTCATAGGTTTGACTTATTATCACACACTATTTTTTTAATTTCAATTGATTATACACGTTTCGTTCACTAATAACTCCATGTATTTAGATTGTAAATGGATTAATAACTAGACTATCTTCCCATATTCTTTGAAATAATAATGTGTATGTAACTAGAAAACAACGAACAAATTATGACTTCTAATACATGCATAGTGATCTTTGTACAATTTTTAAGGTGGTCACAATTGTATTTAAATTGATTTTAATAAACTTGTAGTCATATTGTTGATATTCAAATACTAATCTTAATACATACAAAAACTCCTGTTCATTTGACTTGAAAATCACAGCTTTATTTTAATTTTATTTATGTAAAATTCTTTAAAAAGGTGGAGTGATTAATAAGCCAATTAATTCAAGTGAAACTTACCTAGGATGGGGAGATCCCTTGATTGGTTTTTGACCATATTTTCTCCACGAATAATTATCTGGGGGGACATCAGCCATTTTAGGGCTAATAGCTGGGACTCTAACCACTCTCTTCACCCTTGATTTCCTGTTCAAAATTGATACGAAAATATATAAAAAAAATCAAAAAGTACCTAATAATAATAATGATTTGATTGGTGGGTGATAATGAGAGGCCATAATGAGATATGGCGTTGACTTTGTTACCTCTTCTTGGGGCAATGGCATCGACCCGAACCCGACCCGATAGCGCTGCTGCTGTTAGGGGTAGAATCGTCAATTGCGCTGCACTTGCGCTTAAACGACGACGTTGAGAGCGGCGGCTTCCCGGCGGAGGAAACTTGGGAGAGATTCGTAATCCCGCCCTCTGTTTCCCCTGTTACAGATGAGATAATAGAGCCGGCCGGAGAAGCCGCCGCAATGGCGGCGAAACTGATGCTGGGCGGCTGCTCTTTTCGTTCAACCGCTTTCGCCGCTGGTAATTGGTGGTGGTGGTGTGGAAGCGGCGGCAGAGATTGAACCAGCTTCGGGCAAATCGGCTGACCCTTTCCGGATTCTTGACTGACCCGAATCCGACCAGTCTCGCTTTGATCTGTTTTGCTCTGCTTTTGAGACGGCGGCGGGGAAAACGCGCCCCTCCGGAAACGGGCATGCCCGGTTCGGGAACGGTCCAGCACCGAAATGAACTTCTTGAACTTCGCGACGGCGGCGTCCGCCTCCGCTTGGTAACCGGCGGGTAATTGCGGCAAACTATTGCTTTCATTCTCAGATTGGGAAAGTAAATTGATAAGCTTCTGGACGCTCTGGAGCCCGGCAGCCGCCGCCTCGTGGACGGCTGTTTCCTCCGCGTTGGGAGGTAAAATGTCGTCTCTCTTACCTGCCTTCATAAACTCCATAGCCATAACTATATTTAGTCTACTGAAAACCAGAAGAGATTTAGAAGAAGAGAGAAGAGGGGCGGATTATATGTAATGGAAAAAACAGAGCAGAGCGAGGAGAAAATACAGAGATGGGTGAAGGTCAAAGTTATGTTGCACTTTGGGTTTGCTATTTCTCTTTCTCTTTTGTATTTTAATGTTTTATAGGGCAGACCTGTCTCATCTGACTTAATTGCCGTCAAACTGTAGAGCCAATGTAAATATTCCACGTAGAAGGTTCAGGTTTCAGAGAAAAAGTAAACGGCAATTGACCAAACTATCTTTATTCAGCAAAAGAATAATATGCTCGTGATTTCATTAACCTAAATTGTTTATTTAATCAAATTATAAAAGATGTTGCCAGCTGTATACTTCGGGGTTCTCACTTCTCATTTAGCTGTCAAATTATAGAGATAATTACTTCGTATTTTAAAAACAAATTTCAATATAATTATTATGGTTAATTATACTCCCTCCGTCCCCGAAAGAATGTTCTAGTTGGACTTCACACATACTAAAGAAACAAATTTGACCTCACACTGTAACGACATTGTTTTGCAATGTTTGATATTGTTTGGTATAGATTTGTTTACCAAACAAGGAAATTAAAGAAGTAAGATTTTAATTTAGGGACTTTCATTTTGGAAAAGTAGAACATTCTTTCAGGAACAGAGGTTGTACTACTTTTGTTCCACTAAGATTAGAACATGATTATGTCATATGAATATATAAAATTTGGATTTATGTGACTTATATTAAATTTATATACTAAAAATAAAGTAACCAGCTGGTTGTGAGATTACCGTGCCTAGTGAGAGGCCTCAAGTTTGAAATCCGCTAGGTATATAAGGGTTTGAAACTCAATGGAGTGAGTTTCAGCCATGATTACTTTAGACCCCCCAACCCCCTCCTCCTGACCCCTTGGAGTAAAAAATAATATTAAAAAAAAAAGTAAAAATCAAGTAATTTTTTTTAAAATCATATAAACTTTGTCAAATGAAATTGAAAAAGATAAAATGATCAATCTTGAGGTGGAGAAGGAATAATATTTTTCATGAAAGTCACAACAAAATAGAGAAAGGAAATTCAAATTTTCCAAACACCAAAATAGAGAGAGAAATTATTGGAGCAACAAGTATCTAATTTTTATTTAGAGTGAATCACCTAACTAAGACTATTAAAACATTTTTGCTACTTGTACTCACTTCCTTATACTCATCTAATGCATATCCTTGTGAGAAGATTATGTTTTGTACGTGAACGGAGTTCACACACAAAATAGCCTTCTCACAATAATGTGTATAAAGTGGGACTCAGGAAGTGGGTACAAACATAAATTTTCATATTAAAATAAAATATACAGATACAATATGTCATTACATAAAAATTACAGAATCGACACAAATTTGGCACGAATTTGACATGGACTGATAGATAATTTAGTGCAAATAGCTCGTGTGAAAATGTTTTTGACACGACTTTTGTATAGCCCTACCAAATCTCTATGAGTTTTGATGAATACCTACAAAAAAAAATATGTCAATCTCAAAGCAATTGCTCGCATCTACCTAAAAGGGCAATGAGGTGTTGTCCCCGTTAATATGGAGTTGAATTGGACGCAGTATTTAATCTTGATACGAGTGTTTAGACTCGTCATATTCTGTACTAGCACCTATCAATACACATTTTTCTTTGAGGGTAAAAAAAGAATTATTATTTAATACCAAGCTCAAAATAATACAATTTTAAACTCAAGTATTTTAAATGGAACAGTTTTATCTTGGATTTTGACTTTTGAATTAAAATGAAGTGTCATATTTATCATTGTGTTATACGGAGTATTGAACTAATTTATGACTATTTTACTCTCTGAGTCTAACCTCCATCCTAAAAGTGAAGTATGCATTCGGATTCTGGGGCAGTGTCAGGGCACTGAATCAGACTGGATTGGTACAAAAAATATATTCGGAAAAATTCTATACAGAATTTTTTACTCTAAGAGTACAGACATTTTTAAAATTTGGATGAGTACCCCGCTACGCCCGGGTTTAAAATATTTTATATGGTAAGGTAGTTAGTACGTTTAAACTATTAAAATAAGCTGGAAATTGAATTTTTCGTAACTAAACTAAAGATTGAAAAGAACGATTAAACATTACTTTTATGGAATGTATAATACTCGTATTTTGAAGTCTCCCTCATAATGTTTAAACTTTAAACTATTGAAATGCTTTATAGAATATGTAATACTCATATTTTGAAATTTCACTTTTTTTTTTTGGAAATTTCACTTTATTTTTACTCTTATTCAAGACATTTGTTTTTGTGATTATAGGAGGGTGTTTGGTGACCCAAAAATGGGCTTTTCAGCTAATATATTACCAAACACTTTCACTTCAATCTTTTCAGACTTTTCAACCATTCCAGCCAATGCAGCTGTCACCAAACAGGCTTAGGTTTCGTTCCAAAATACGGAGTAGAAGAAAAGTCTTTGTATTTGTAATAAAGTTATTTGTGTAGTGCTTTAAGACGGTAATGGAACATTTCAAGAAAAGCAATTGAGCAAATTTTAGACCAGATGATTTTAATGTTTAAATGGGCTATTGTTAAAGAAATACTAGTAATTTTCATTAAGAATTTGGTGCTAGTGAGTACGTGACTACCCTGATTGGAACTATTAATTGAGGAAATTATTCAACATTTAGAAAAAAATACGGCAACCCGAAAAAGCGTAATTTACGGTTACATCTTGTGGAATATACGGAGTACATTGTTTTGGGGCTAAAGTATTAAGGTTAGTGACTGAATTTAGAATTATAGATGTATGGGCTTTTCGTTTACCAGGAAAAATGCAAAATATAGTGCCCATTAAAGTGTGGGTGGATCTTAGACTTGAAATCACTAAACCTATTCTGATTTCGCACCACAATATGAATCTTGTGGTTTCAAGCAAGCACGCATTGTCAAATGCCCTACGCACCAAACGTGGTTTAGCCACTTGACCATTTCGGCCGGTCTCGCTTTTAGAGAACTTGAGAAATGACAAGGTAAAAGCAACTTTAAAATGAGAGACTTATATGGTAAAAGCACCAAACTTACTAACCTTGTTTCATCAATTCACCCTTTTCGACATGCTCACTCATCTTTGGGCTTTCTTATTCCGGGCACGCTTAACTGCGAGTTTGTGTGGTTAAATAGAATCCATATCCTTTTTAAAACAAATTGGTGATAAGGAAGGAGACGCCCTCTATTGAATTCATTACTGTGTTGTTCCCAAGTCAAGGTAAATTCAAGGGGGCACCCCCACAATTGACTATGACAGTGTAAAGCCCTACTACTGAGCGGTGGATGGACATGAGGGTTGCACCACATTGTGGTGCGCCAACCGGTTGGGCGGTGAAGCCCTGGATTTATCTTGACTTGGGAACCAGGGGCGGATCCAGCTTAAGGTCAGGGTGGGCCTAGGCCCATGCTAAAAAAAAAAATTACTAGTATATATGTGTATATATATATATATTAGTATATTCTATTTTAATAGTTATAATATAATAACTATTAACACCAACTACTAAACACAATTCTTGGTAGTCCAATGGAAGTAGACCGAGATAACTTGCGCAGCATGAGGGTATAAGTTCGAATCCCCTTGGACACAGGCTTTTTTACATTGGACTTTTGAATGTTAGTATGAAAAATTAATTACTTCAAATAATTGGAATTTTGAATATTAATCTGAAAAGTTAATTAAAAAGAGAAAGAATTATTCCTTTAAATTGAACTCCATCAGTTTTTTACATTGGACTTTTGAATGTTAGTATGAAAAATTAATTACTTCAAATAATTGGAATTTTGAATATTAATCTGAAAAGTTAATTAAATCAATTCATGGGGCTTTTGGATATTGGACTGAAAAATTAATTAGTTGAATTCATTGGACTTTTGAATATTACATAAACAGTTAATAAGTTCAATTCATTGTGCTTGGTGAGTGAAATTTAATTAGCTTATTTTTTGACATAGAGAAATAGACTATAGAGTCAAAAGAAAATTGGTTTTGGAGAAATTGACTTGAAAATTGGTATTGAATATTTCAGTAAGCGAGCAAATTCTGATTCGGTATCTATGACTTTTAAGATCATTAAAGTATCAGTTCTGTAATATTTATTTTTTCATTGACATTTCTATAATATTATTTAACTATATTTTTCCATTTTGACATTTTTTGTAATATACCTTCTTTAATTAAATTTTTTCCCCACCTGAGTTCAAATGCTAGATCCGCCCCTGTTGGGAACAACACAGTAGTGTTGTTCCCAATTAGTGTTGAGTATGTGGTTTTGTTGATGACTAACCATATAGGTGGAGAACCGCTCCAGTTTCGTAAGGAGCAAAGGATAGAACTATTCTTTCACTAACCACGCAGGTGTACTAACACGGGTTCTTGACAGAACTAGATATTTGGGCCTATGGGCGAGATATTATATGGGCCTATGTTCAAGACAAAAACTAATCTCTAAAAATCGATCAACGAAACAGGACCCACCAAAAGTTATTCTCTTCACTTAAATCACAATTATCTGGATCAATTTCACTATTTGCGGCTTTTGCACCTATATCACTATTTCCAAGCATGTTATGGTTTTCACTCACAAAAGAATTTAGTGGCGATTCAACTTGAGAAGAATTTCTAGGATACAATTTCTTAACAAAAACAAAATTTTTCATTGCCCCCGTCTTACTTAAGGCTGCCTTTTCTAATCTTTGTCTCTTTTTCTCTTTTTCCCAACTAGATTCACCCATTTTATCAAACACCTTCACAATAGTAAAACGAAATAAAGGAATTCAATTCAAAATTGCACAATACCAAACAAATATGAATTTACCAAGACACCAAAAATGCATCATATAGAAATCATTAATCATAATTCATAAATCAAAAGAACATTTAGTGGATTTATTATTCATAGCTAATATAGATTGGGAATAATTTACTGGCCGTTGTCAGATTGTTTGAAGCCTTGACAGAAGAAGGTGTTCTAATCGCCGGCCGCTGTTTGGGCTCCTCACCGCTGACCGCTTTGGCTAATGGTGATTTGCAGGCTTGTGGCGCTCTCTAATGTCTACTCTTGTGCAAGAC